TGCTTGTAGCTGTCGGAGGCAAATTATGTAAAGCTGTATCCAAACACATAAACCAAGCCAGATAAAATCTTGGCCTTTTGAGGTTGCAGAGCAGTGAGCATATGCACAGTGAATGCTCAGGATTTCTATATTGTGCTGGTTTTATTTTACAGGGTCAAAAGTGTTGTAATTTCAAGAGCAACTTAAAATCTTTTTTTGGACTGAGGATGTCTCATTCTGGTTTGACATTTATTTTTGAGCATAAATAGGCTTTTGTGAGATGTGGGGATTCTGCCATGATGTTTGTGGATTGTTACATGCTGTATTCTGATAAAAACAGTGGACAGATTGTATTTCTTTATCTGCTGGAAACGTCAGAAGATTTTTCTTACTTACCTGGGAATTTAGGAAGAACCGTTTGGGAGTTCCAACATGCCTGTGTGGTCAGGAATAAATGAGGTGCACAACAGCTCTATCTAATACTCCAGACTGCTAGGACTGAAGCTGCTCTGTGGAGAGCTGGGTTTTGCCGTCATGAGGCTTAGTGATGTACTTCTGGAAGTGTTTCTTCAAGATGCTGCTTGTTTCAAGTTTATGGATTACAAAAATGAAAAAATATGGATTACAAAAATGAAAAAATGAGTACCAGCAGTTCTGTATTCATTTTTTGCACGTCTCATTTATTTCTAGGCTCACGCTTCCAAGAGCAAAGCAACACCAGTGCCTGGGGGTACAACTTGCTTATTGGGATTTCGGGTTGTGCTGGCTACGAGGAAAAATGCCTCAGTTGCTGATGCAGCATCTTGCAGTGAGACAAACTATGGAAGTAACTTTACCTGCCCAAAGCAGTTATTTTGCAAATTTATGTGACCTACCATGTATATATGTTTATATTTACAGACACAAGCTGATTCTATAAAATGTGCGTGGAATTCACTTACACCCGTGACATGCGTGATACACACACATCTGGTGGTGGGCTTGCTGACAGGATGGGAAAGTACTTGCTCATGACATGTATGGCTTTTGTCTATCTCTCTGAGAACCTAGCCCGTGGGCTTTGTGTGTTTCCTATGTTCAGTGGGTTCTGCTGGGTACATACGGAGGAGAGAGGAGTATGCTTGGTTATTTTTATTACTGTCTGATGAACCAAAATTTACCTTGTTATTTTAAAATAATACTTCATCAAGTGCATCTATTGCCCCCCTGATAAAAGGCTTTTTTTGTACTACTTTTTTTTTTTCTTTCCCCTCCATTTACTATCAAAACTGACCTTTCACATACTAGGTATGAGCAGCACTTTGAGCAAGGCATGAAGATTTTCATTGCTTTGGGGCTTGTGAAAGCTGGGGCCAGATTAGAAGCTTTCTCTAAGGATAAATGAATGGGACAATGGAGGCAGAACAACCCGAGGCTTCTGGCTATGTGTGCAGACATCTCAGATCATTTGTTCTTTTTTTTTCCCCAAATCCTCAGTCATTCCCTTGTCTCAAGAGTAGTTTTATTTCTGAAGGAGTTCTTTAAAATTACTCCTTTTAATCACAGAGTTAGAGAGAGGTTTGACAGAGCTTTTGACAGATATTCCTGTAAAGAAATGAAAATAACGGAGATTTGTTCGTTAATACTGTAAATGACAGCAGATTTAACAGCTGTTTATCATTCTCCTCTGTCATCAGTACTCCACTGATTAGGCACTGCACCAAAGTGTCATAAAGCTTAAGTTTCCATCTGAACTCCTTTATGTTCTGTAAGGGAGGATGTCAGCATTGCAGGGCTGGTGCTTTGTGCCTGAAATAATTGGTACTGAAGTTCTTAGTATTGTGTTTCCATCTAAAGGATGCCTTTTTGTTATCAGGATCTTTGCATTTCATCTCTTCTCCAGTCCCCTCAGGTTTCTCCCTTCCTCAGAGATTATATACTGAGAACAAGAAGTAAAATGGAAATTTGGGTATTCAACAGGCAGTGGAAACAGTAGCACACTTTGTATGTTCATCAAAAAAGATCTCTTCCAAAGACATGTCACTGGCCTTTTCTCCCCATCCATCATGGAGCTTTTGAGAAAGAGCTAGGCTCTGTTCCGTGGTGAGCTTGCCTGGTGTGAGGAAGCTCACAGACATACCCTGTGAGCACACGCAGGGCTCAGCTGAGTCCTGAGAATGCCAGTATTAGGTCCTTTCTTATTAATCCACCCTTCACCAGTGTGTCTAGGTGTCACACTTCAGACTCTGTGGGCTTTCTTAGGATTCTCTCCTTCCTGCCAAAGCCTGCACAGAGTATCCCACAGTTGTGAAGTTCGCAGAGGGCAAAACAAGATGCTTCTTGCTGCAGCTACAATCATGGTTTACATGGGGAAGTCAGGTTCAGTCTAGGACTGTGTTCATTGTGGAGGTCAGAGGCAAAGGCTGTGCTTAAACCAAACTCTTTCTCTACTCCTTCGCTAAAACCCTCCAGGGTAATCATAACCAAAGTCCTCTGCTCCTCCTACTGTTACAGTCAACTCAGAGATGCCAAAGCAGGTCAAGGGGAGAGGAGACTGAGGAGGAAAGAGGGGTGAGAAGGTGGTGTAGGTGCCCTGCTGCCTTAGCCACTGTTGTCCACATGGGATCCATTAGATCTCCAAACAGTTACTCGGAAGCATTTGGTCTGAGATGGCAGCATGGCTTGCTGAGCCTCATGTGGCTCAGAAGAGGCAGATGTTCTGCAATGTATTGGTCTTTGAGGCTTAATGCATATGTTATATTGTTTGTCAGTTCGTGGTATCCTTTCAGGCTTTGTGGTTATGGGTTCCTCCAGTGAGGCCTATTTTATCTAGCATTCAGCGTATTAATTGAACATAAACCTTTACATCTGCAGCTCCTACAGCAGGCATCTCTTTGAAGAAGCCTTAAGATGTCATAATATTTGAAAGAGAAAAATGTGCATTTTTTGCTAGCACCTGTAATTTAGGTAGCAAAATAATTGGGTAGAAAGCATCTCTTATCTCTTGTTGAATCCGATATGAAAGACAGTTACAGCTTTTCAAACCTGGCTAAAACTATGAATTATCCTACAATATTTGTATGAATCTAATTTAGGCAGCTGTCAGACAGAAATATTTTAGATTCCGTATATTAGTAACACTTGCAGAGGGGCTGTGGCTGTTTTCAAAGACTTTTTTTGTTGCATAAAATGAGGAGAACTCAGCACAGTAACTACTGTGGAGATGTTTGAACAAATAAATTGCTTGCATGAAATAATTATTCCTAATAGAAAGAAGGAGAAGTTTGGATGGACTTTGATCATTCTTGCAGCTTGTGAGAGGCATATCAGAAACTCTAGGAGGTCTGTTACTTTAAATGTTGGTATACTGCTCAGGTTACTGTAAGAATTATTCCTTTCCATTTCAGGAGCATTAGGGGTGTCGGTGTGCAAGTTCTATTTGACCGTATCTTCCCTGTGAAGGACACATTCAGAAAGCTAAGAAGAACTTTGAGTAATCATGTTACATCACTGTTAACCAACAAAGTCAATAAGTACCTTCCGTAAGGCAAATCACAATTACAACTGAAGTACCAGTTGGGAGTTGGGCTGTAATTCTGACTAGCATTTGTCCTGTCTTTTGATATGGTACTAATCCTTCCTATTTATAAAGACTCTGCTAGCCTGATTCTCAGCCTGGGGCTTTAACATTCTGCTTAGTGTTCATTTTATTTGGTTTGACGCTCACCCATTGTATTTTGGATAAGTTTGTTATTGTGCTTTGCCTGAACTGAACTGCTCCACCTGATGGTGAAAACAAGAAAATGCCGTCTCTCATGCAATGAGGGTTTATTTGAAAAAATGTCATCTATTGGAAGGACTTCATGCTGTAAGGGTATGCGGGCCTTAATCCAGGAGACCTACTAATAATGTTCTGCCCCCTTTCTACTTGGATGTAGAGCAGTTAAGGTTATGTAAAGGAGTTGCATAAAGATCTTGAATCCACAGTTCTTTTTCATGTTTCTAGTGAGATACCCAGTGGGTGGGTACTTGTACCATAGACATGTGCTTCTCAAAGTCCAGATGCTGCCGCAACCTGAGATGCAGCTGTGCTTTGCAAGACATACATATCTGAAAGGAGTTATTCCTACTCATGCACAAGAAGGGAAGTGTGGCTGATTGGTAGCTGTTGATTTGATCATGTTCTTACTACCCAATGGGGAGATACTTGATGGTTGAGTATGTTGGGTAGAAGAGGTTTCCCATATGGTATTTTCTATCTTGAGTCTCTTTAGTTGCACAGAAAAAGAGGTAAAAACTAAAGAACTCCAAAAGAAACAACCTGCTAACAGGAAAAGCTTTACAAGGCTCTCTTGTGCATTGAAACAGAAATAATCACGTAAATCTGTGCAAGCAGCAAAGAAACAGGAAGCATGACAGAGCTGCATGTCCCTGAGTCTTTTAGTTTGCCCAGCTTTTTGCAATGCAAGAATCTGTAGATGCACGTTACAGTAAATTTGCTCTGGCACATTTCATGTTGCCCTAAGATATCGGAGTATTGTGTGGGTGATACGAAGATCTGTCATCTCTGGATGGTCATGTTTTCATCCAGGAAGGGAAAAGGTATGATTTCCTGTCTTGAGCTGATGTGGCTGGGATGAAGGATGAATCTTGTATGGAAGGGTGCTTATATGTAACAGCACATGCAAGGGATGTTCTTTAAAATATTTGAGCAGCCAAGAGTTCCCATGTTATTGAGAAGGTAATGTGAGATCAGACCACCTGAGCTCAAGCTGATTATGTTCAGCCTGCGCTCTTGCAAAAGCTATGCGTATAAGGTCGTGGTGCGCCAACCAAAAATCTCTGTGAACAGGCAGCTTGTTCTAATTTATGCTGTGAAACTTTGAGGAATCCCCTTGTTATATTCAATTTTCATAGCCTCTATCAAAAATGGCAAATTTTAAGCTGTTGCTGTAGTTTTGTCCTTTACTTGTATTAACCATATACACTTACATTGCCCAAAATGGTGTGTACAGACCTTTTTTTTTTTCTTTCTCTCTCAGACACCCTGGCTCTGGAATACCAGACAGTGCTGGAATGGGTATCCATATCAGGTAAAAGTTACAGTGCGGCCTAAAACCAAACATGACACTTCTGCAGAGCTCTGTTTTTATTATGGCGGAGATTTGTGTTAATATGTTAGTGTGAATGGGCTACTCGGCATTTCAGAACATCACTAGATGCTTCCCATCTTGCTTGAGTGCAAGATGGAAAAGATGAATATAGCTGTCACACCTGTTTTGAAATGAAGCACAGGATCTGGAAACAGATCTGGGAGATCTAACTGTGAAAGCAGACATCTGCAACGGCATTAGAATGGTCGTTTTTCACAAAGTTCTGAGGGCACTGGAAGTTTAGCAAAGCCTCAGTTTCAGCAGGTTGGGAAATTCGGTATAGTTCTCATAGTAGCTATACTGCATATAGCGTGAGACTGAATCCCTGGCAGCTGGTGTGAGCAAAGAGGAGACTAAAGGGAGAAGGTAGGTTTCTCCTTTAGGTACTTACATAGGGGCTATCCACTCCTGGCCTCATGGAAGCTTACAACAAAAGAAGGTAAAATTAATGGGAGAATTGAGAATGGTTTCAACTCTTTATTTTCAGCAATGTGTGTATTTTCATGGATTCAAAAAGCATCAGCCTTTCTCTCTGTTCTAGGTCAAAGTATATAACTTCAAAGAAAAGAATTAAGTAGTTTATCTTCTTTACTAAGGTGAAGAATGCACTGTTAAAGTAAAAATGCCCTTTCGGGTTGTATCCTGCTGCACTCATTCCCTCTTTCAGTCCTCGAAAAAAAATTTTGTTCAAGTTTGAAATTTGATTTCCTTAAAATGATCTTCAAAAGAACAATAACAGTATATTTATTACTTACTGCACTGCTAAGTTTTTAGCTAGTTCCAGGAATATTTAATTCCTAGGTCCAAGTTCTGGCCATCTTTCACAGCAGCGCAGTTGCTTCAATGGCATGCAGGTCCTGCAGTAACACCAGGATTAACTGCAACCCTACAACTCCGGAAAGTATTCTCTGCCAGGGGAAGAAGGAGCAGGACAAGTGGAAAGAGAAGGGTAGAAATTTTATCTATCATTATCTGGTTGAACAGTGGCTTCCAAAGTTTGCATATACAGTGAGCCTTGAGAACCCTGTCCTGTGCTTTCTGTTAGTTTGTGCTACTGGACATAGTTGTTAAAGTATGGAATGTATTTAGAGTGGTCAACCTGCTCTAAATGATTCCATATATTTTTCAGAAAATATAACTCCTGAACTCTGCCTTGGCTGTACCGCAGCCTCATGTTGGGAACAGTCATTTGTCAAAATTGAGGTGGCTGCTGTCACTGGTGCCTTTCGGTCCTGTTTTCTATTAATTTTGTGTTATTACACGCAACAGACTGACTTGTGATGTAAGACCATCAATCTTACTTGTTAAAGAACATATATTTACCAGACTTATCAGAAGGATGAGGTTATTCAGAAAGTTAGTTACAACTTTTAGAGGGTGGCAGCTAAACTTGTGATATCTAAAATCATGCTGCTAGTGGAGAGCGTCCAACAGAAAGCAAATCATCAGATAAAAGTCATTATCAAAATCATTGTCTCGGAGATAAAAATGTCTATTGGGTGCTAATCAGGATTAAGTACCAGGTTTTCAATATGTTTGGTTTTTTTCTTTTCTTAACTAGGTAAAATTTCTAATCTCTTATTGGCTACAAATCCTTTGTAAGTTACTCAGCATTGCAGAAATCCACCAGGACTTACTGTAGATATAGTTAAATGGATCATTCGTAAGCACAGAATAGTCCTATTAAGTCTATGGAGAACTGAAACCTAACATTTAAACTAAGTTAAACACACACTATTGATCCTTTCATGGAGGGAAACCATGGTATCTTTAGAATCCCCCTACGTTATCATTATATATGAGTTTAAAAATACTAATGCTGTTGTTAATAAAGCAGCTGACAGTCTTAATTGTTCTACAAGAAATTTTCCCCAGTGAGTTCTCTTGCAATAATGAGTGTAATAGTCACCGTACATTGCTAGCTCATGTTCTTTTCCCTTTTCTTAATTACACCCAATTAAAAACTTACAGACAGTCTCACTAAATGAGAAAATGATTACATTGGCCAAATAAATGGCTTTAAAAGATTGATTTTGAGTGTACACATTTTTCATAAAGCAGAAGCATATGTCTATATTTAAATAACCCACACAGAGCTTTCAATAGGCACCTAAGGACTGATTTTTATGGGCAAAGAACTGGTCTGCGAAAGGGAATGGGAATAAAAGAAGCAATTGAAATGCCTCTTGCCAATGGGAATAGCTCATGGCCCGCTTGGGTGCATGGTTGTGCTAGTGCAAACTGCTCTAGAGATACCCTCAGGAGCTTCTCCTTTGCTGGTGTCCCTCTCTGTCACTGCGATGGAAGACAAGAGTAGCAGGGTGGCACAATTGCGTGGAAATTAGAGTAGCTTCTAGGACTGGCTCTCTTAGGCTGGGGGCTAAATAGCCTGTACGTGCCACCAGTTACCTTCATTGAAGTTACCCCAAGTTGGTTTTGGTCATGCATAAGTTCCTCTGTCTTGTTATTTTTATTTCTTTTACTTTTAAACATCTGTGTAACCATATTGTATATCAAACAAGATGCCTGGATAAATTTATTTTAATTTCTTCTTTCCAAATGTTAACATGTTCCCAGAACATGGTTAAATTCTTTAAAGTAGGCTTTTATATTAGAAAGAGCCCTGTTTAAAGCTCACATTTTCATCATGAGCAGAAGAGATTGAATACTAGCATTGCTTTTCTCTAATCTGCTCTAGCATTGTTTCTTTTGCTGTTCTTTGAATCCACATTACTGATCTACAGCAAGATGTTTCAAGTAATCTTTCAAAACAGACTTAGTAGTACTTAGAATTTAGTTTGTTCTAGGTTCTGAATGAACAACATCATAATTTTTTGGTATTACAATATTACAGTACTATCAAGATTAAAACATAAGAGGAGGATAGGTTGGGGAGCTTTATTTTTCCAGAGCCATCAAAGTTTGAAAGAGGCAACCATCATCATTTTTCTTGCATAGGAAGCTTATGTACAATTAAATAATCCCCCTGTGATTAAACACGTCTCCTATAGACGTCAGCTTCCTGTAATGTCAGTTAGACTCTATTAACATTTTCTCATCTCCATCTTTCAGCCACTGATGCCCGACCTTCATTATTACTACATCGTTGAATTGTCATTCTACTGGTCCTTAATGTTTTCTCAATTCATTGACATCAAAAGAAAGGTAAGAACAATGAGACTAAAAACATTGAAAGCTTTAAGCACATATCTTTCGTGACTTGAGAGATACCTGTCTTACCTGTGCAGTGAACTGGAAATACAATTCTTTCTAGTCACCATCTCTTGCAGATACTCATCACTGAGAAATGGGTGTTGAAGTGCTTGTCTTACACTGTTCCTTGTTACTGTGATATGGGCTCTTTCTGCACATGGGAAGAAGAGCCCAGAGTAATCAAATATTCAAGGGGAAGTAGCACCAGCCGAAAAAAACCTTCTGCTTTCATACAGTGACTTGAATGGAATTGAGCAAGTAGTAGCTAATAGATATTCTGTTTCTTCTAAGAGTTAAATGATGAAATATCAATGACAGAGGAAGACTGCCTCATAAATTCATAGTATCGCTTTTGTAAGATCTATGAGGGCTTTCAATTTATTCTACAAAGGGATGGTAAAAACAGGGGTACATTTAATATTAAAAAGTGGTGTTATATTTAATCTTACCTTTACAGTTATGAAATTGCAAGTAGCTGAGCATTGCTATTAAGGGGCTATTAATCAAGAAACTAAACCCCTGGCTATTATAATACTTCATGACAGCTTATACAGAGCAGATTAACAGTTCTCAGTGTGAGAAACCTGTTGATATTTTCCTGTTACAGTAAGAGGAATACTTTTATCTAAGCCTTGGTCATCATTTTAGATACTTTAAATTCAGCAGTGGCTATGTTGTAGTCTGGGATGATCAAAAGTGCCCTGGCAGCCTTGTGCACTGCAGGAATTCAGCCAACCGCTGTTATGTAGCCAGGTTTCTCTCAAGATGAGGTGTGGTAGGTCTTCTCTGAAAGCACCAGCACTCAGCACTGGCCTAACTCCAGCACTGGTCTTTTACTCACTGTAGCTCAAGAGAAATGTACTTTCTGTTTTCCATCTCCGTTTTACTCTAATAGCAAATTCATGACTTTAAAATTATTTCCAATTGGTTTGCTGACTTTCAAATACCTGTTTATCTTTATTTAGATGTTATAAATTCCACCATATTATCTTTGCCTGGCTGAAGAGGCGTGGGCAAATGATTGAGGCTGTTGCACATACCTACTATTGGCATTAAGGCAGCAAATTGAGTAGCTTAACTTTTACGGTTTTATGATGGCATGTTGTTTGCTTCATAAATATCTACTATGTTGCTGTAACGATGTTCTACCCTTAAGGGTTTTCATTTTCAAAGACTGCAACCTGGTATGATTTGGTTTTTTATTATCTCTGTCCAGCTTCCCATACTCCTCTTGTAAAACACAGAGAAAAAAATTAGATCAGGGAACTATGTTGCTCTCACAAGCCCTGATGAGTTTTAAAAGCAGTGAGACTTGTTTACGTGCTTTGTGGGTACCTGAAGTATTGTTTGGTAGAAAAACATTTGACCAGTGTGTTTCAGGGAAAGTATAAAATTTCTACTTGGTCAGTGTTTTAACAGGTTTGTAGAAGAACTATGAGACCTTTCTGTGTATTCACACTTTTTAGTTCCAAGCATTTGGCAATTCCTAGAGCTTCTGTCTTTTACTTTTTTAAAAAATGACAGTTCACTCATTCTCAAAATAAAATAATCTGTAGCTGCTATTTTTCTTGAATATTCCATTTTCATTCTAGAATAGTTATGGTATATTTCACTAAATCTGGATCCTAGATCTCTTCAAACTCAGTAAAAAAAGAGTCATAGAGTTGATTTCTTTCATTTTAGAGGAGAGGAATTCAGATTGTGTACATTTTGCAAACATTTGCTAGAATTGTAGTGGTTGAAACCTTGAGCTGGTGGATCGTCCCCTTCCTTGTTAAAGCCCATTTCCAGAAGCTGGAGTGACTAATGAAGATGATGTTTTGCCCTTCAGTGGCACTGATGCTCCATAGCCACTTGGCAGTTTAGTCAGTGAGTGTGTCATGTTAAACAAATGTGGGCAGCAGAAGCCTTGGTTCCAGAGGGCTTGTCTACAAGTTGAGACCCGTGAGGTTTCTCCATTTTCTGTCCGATGTTCTTCCCACTGATGGTGTCAGGAGTAGGTTCTTTCTCTTATGCTTAGCCACATATTTTCATGACACAGGCACGTGATATCTTGCAACAGTTACGACTGGAGGCTACAAATCTGCTGTAAATAAATGCATCTTGCACAAAGATACATACAGTTTCAAATATATTTTTAAAAAGTAGCAGTCCATTACTGTACAGCTGCTCTTCTGCTGTGTATGGGGTGAAAGTGCTTGAGTAGGCTGGGAATGCAAGTACCACTTGACATTATGGGGACTTGTACGATTAGTTTCTATGCATTCATTACCCTTATGTATAATTAAAATCTAACAGCATCTTCAAAGCATAGTATTAATTACTGACATAAAGAAATGTCACAAACAGGAAAGAAGGACTAGAATAACAAAAATAGTCTTATTTAGATCACTGCTACTTTTTCCTAACAATTTTCAGTAGGTCAGTCCAGCATCTCTATTTCAGAGCTGGCAGAGTCAGATAACTCTTTTAAGAAACATTAGCAGAGAAGGAGTTCCCTGGACAAGATTTCTATAAGTAGGCTCATGCAGAAGTGCAGAAGACTGCTGCCCAAGACCGTTAGGGCTGCTTAGGAGTAATCCATATTGTCAGAAATGCCTTGAGGAGTTCCCAAGAGGGACTAGAAATCTCGTATTTGTAGAACATAAAAGTGTCAGCTATAAAAACAGATGAGAATTTTCTACTTGGTTTCTTTCCCTGTTTGGATTGCCTATGTACTAACATAATTGCAGTTAGAAGGAAAATGAAGAACAGTGCCATAGTATTTGCAGCTGAAGCAGGTAAAGAGCTAGGCTGCAGTATGGCCATGTGGCAATGCAAGTAGCTTACTTCTAATCCCAGGGAATAAGGTAGGTGCTTTGCTGTTTTGATTATGGTATGATGAAATGTTCCCCATGTGTGGGTTTGTAGTTACTGAAATGACTAAGATGCCATATCCCTGCTTTCCCCTAAGACTCTTAGAAAGGGAAACAGCCTATAAGTCTCTTTTTGTTCAGTCTGCTTTATGAAAATGGGTTTAAAGCAATGGCTTGATATGACTGCTGAATGTATTTGGTTGTGCTCCACACTGCTGGAGACCAAATAACCTAGCTGAGAAATATTGGGTGTATACTAAACTAGGATATGGTTCTCTGCTTTTAGTCTTTTTTTTCTTCCTTTTCTTTTACCCCTGACCCCCCTCAACTTTGTGTTAGAGAGACTGGCAATGCCCATTGATGCGTATGCATAGGAAACAGGACCTTGTAGCTCCTTATAGCATTAAACAGAAAGCAGTAGGCTGGGAGGAGGTCCTGTCCCTATTCAGTTAGTGAGACTGCTCAAGTTGCATGTTTTTCCACGGACTCCACGTATACGTTGCAGTGAAGCCAAGTGCTGGTATGAGATGCAGCAGCACTGCACGTCCTTGAAAACAGCAGTGCCTGCTGTGTGCCTGCTGCATTCCCAAAGAGAGGTACGATGACACTGGGCAGTTGCGCATCCCAGTATTGGAGAGGCAGAGCAGTTGGCAGCTGTAGCTGCTGCTTTTCTGGAGCTCACCCTGTGTTAGTGGGAGCTCACCAGCGCTTTCCACAGGGCCCTCCTGCCCGACACGTGCACCTCCAGTCTCTTTGCGAACTAGGTGCTCCCTCTCTAAACACTGCAGGGTCTCTGTTCCAGTTTCTCTGCTGTGGGCCGCTTAGCTGAAGACCACCACAGTTAGGCAGGACCTAGCCCACAAAAGCTAGATGCCACCTCCCAAGGCACTTGGCGAGCCCGCTGCCTGGAGGAGCTGCTACTTCTGACTGCACGGACCTCTCCCTTCGGAGAGCCCTGCAAGAAAGGCACTGGATCTGCTGAGAGCTGTGGTAGTAGCTGTGCACCCGGTGCGTGGAGAAACTGCCTGGTCAAATCATGCCTGTGATCTTTTCTTCTGGCTTTTGATATGACTCTCTCAAAGATGTGCAGGTAGTTCCGCAAACTCCAGCACAACTTCTTTTTTACTGACTTTGTGACTTGCAGAGAAGAGTCTTATCTCTGGGTCCTGTTGTCTCAGTGATCAGTCTGGGAGTCTAGGCCGGGCAGGCAGGTCGTTCCCTCTGCTTTACCTGCCCCTTGGCACATGTCTGGGAATGGGATGTTACAGGAGCCTCCTCGCTCCTAGTATTTTACAATAGTAACTGTTACTTGCCAGCCGAAGAACTCAAAGAGTTACTGATCTGGAGACCAGCTAACCTGCATCATTTGGGAGGCAGCAGATTAGATCTGAGTAACAGGAGCTGCATTAGCTCATTGAAAGACTTTTTTATGCTGTTACAGTGTGAAGATGAGGCAGCTTCATTAAAACAAACAAAGAAAAAACTGGAACTGGGATTCTCAGCTCTGTGGAAGCTCTCCGTTGTGCTTGGCAGGCACCTGTCATAACTCCTAGTGCAGTGGAAATGTGTTTCCCATTCCTTTGTAGCTATTTGAACTCTTGTGAGTGGTGCGTTATTTTGCATATTATATGTTGCTTGGTTTATAAGAAATACGGTGTAATTTGATTTGTATGTACATATGCCTTTTCAAAGTAACTTCAGCTGCAAATGTTTACTTCATTAGGCTAAATTACTATGAACTGAGAAGTGTAGATATTGCCTAGCTTTCAGTAATCTTTTTGCATTTTGTTAACATACAATGATTCTTTTATTCAGACTAAGTAAAATATATAGCAAGGTGCTTAATGCAGTTATGTAGCAGGATCTTTATGTAACAACACCATAATGCTGGGTTTAAAAAACATCCATCCATTTTTGTATAAGAGTACTGAATCTCACTGGTTCATTGTTTTATTTTTTTTCCCTGCTTCTTGCTGCTCTAGGATTTTGGCATCATGTTTACACATCACATTGTAACAGTCACCCTGATAACCTTCTCATATGTAACCAATTTGACACGAGTGGGAACCTTGACCTTATGTCTCCATGATGCGGCTGATGTTGTCCTAGAGGTGAGATAATACATATATCACCAGTGTCTGTACATGATATTCGCTATTCTGAGAGCTAGCATGTCAACAGGTAGAATCTATGTGCTATTCAAAACAAGTATTTCTTAAGCAAAGAGGCCAGTTCAAGATGGTAATGGGGATTAATACAGTGTATTTCCTTGCTGAAGTATTTTACATTTGTAAGGGGTGCATGTTTGTGACTTCAGGCTGTTTTATCCCTTGATAAGTTGCGTGTACAGAGCAGAGACTGGTAATGCTTCGCATGCAGGGAGGCTGACACACAGGTTTTAAATATAACGTGGTAAAGTCAAAAGCTCAAAGTTGCAAAATCTGGAAACTGGTGACTGCGTGGGATAGAAGCTCCTGGTTCTTGAGCCCTCTGAAGTGATGTGTGGGGCAAGAACCCTGTCTCCAAAAGAATCACGGTGTCACGGTTTGATTCTGCTGTGCTTTGCTGGGCAGAGCGTGCTGGAGAACTTGACAGCTGTTCTGTGCGTGGGCAGTGAGCTGACCTCTGGTCCCTAGGATTTTCCAGGTGCCCGTGCCTCCACATCCAGATGCTAGTATTAAACACTTGGCTTTGGAGAAAGAAAGGATGATTGAAATTCTTTTAAGTCAAGATGGTCTGTATCTTCCATAGCAGCAACTTAGAGATGTTGTCATCCTGTATATGCATCAGCTTTTAGACAGCTCTGGGTGATGCTGGGATCAGGCTGTCTGTGAACTCTCCATCAGGATCAAATCAAAGTTAATAACTATTTTGTCTGAAATTATTTCTTACTAAAATAGTTGCAACGGTCCTGTTATGCAAGAATATAGTCACACTGTGTGAGTCATCTAATGCAGAATCAAAATCCTGCCATTCTGATTTGATAGTGCTGTAAATCCGTTTTTATTTTTTAATCTTTTTTTAATCTAGAAGGCACATGACTGCCTGAAATAGAAAGCAACAGAGTCTGGATTTCTCCTGTTAGAAATAATTACATCTTTACAAGTTTGTTTTTCTGTTTTAGCAATGTGTGTAAATCCATTCTGCTAGCTGTGGGTTCGCCCAAACTTTTGTCAGTCCTCTTTTCTCACCACCACAGATGTACTTGACAGTTTTCATTCCAGATCAGACCAGTGCCTGTGGAACTGTAAAACCACTGGAGAGCAGCTGTAGTTGGATAGCTAAAACCTTACCTTGAACACAGTGAGAAACATATTTTTTCTCAATTCCTCAGTTTATTCACTGGCTAAGACAAAGAGAAAATGCTGATATTCTCACATGATTTGCAAACATTCAGTAAATACCCTTCCCCATGAGGCACATACTTCAGTGGTCCTTCTAGTCAGCTCGTTCAGTCTGTTCTGACTGCAAGTACTAAAGCCAGTCTACAGTGTAAGAAAGAGAATCACAGCCGCAGAGAAGCATTTAGTAGAGGGGCCATTACAACTCACTCAACAGACTTTCTTCTGCTAAGGCAGTGGGTCACAGCGCTGGTGCCAGATGAGAGAAGATGGACTCGTACACACTGCTGACATTACTGAGGGGAAAGTCAGTGCAGAGGCAGAAAATTGTCAAACTGCAAAAGAAGCTGGTAAAATGTCTTTCCATGATGGGCACCTGACCTGTTTTACATATTACATATTTGTAAAAATGAAAAGCTATTTCCAGAGGCCACTAGACTCTTTCCACCTACCATTTCATAATGAAACATGTCCAGTGGAAAGCTGCATTGCAACATTTTTGCTAGTCTCATTGCAGAAAGTAGTATATATTGGTAGGAATACTGAAGGTGAAGTATTTTCTGTAGTTCTTAAGGCATTTGCGGGTACAGAAGAGTCGTTGCAGGATTTTCAGGAACACATAGCTCTGCTCTTAGGTCTGAGTGAAAGTTACCTTGGATACCCAAAGCAGCCTAGCCACGGCAGGACAGACCAAGCGTAGAGTCATTTGCTTGCGTAGGAAGCCTTACATTAGCTTAAACTGAAATCTAGGCTACTGAGAGGCAACTTTCAGAATCCCAGCTAAGTTGTTTAAGGGGTCTTGGGTATCTTTGCACTGCAGTACAGCTTGTGGGTTGGAAACACTGTGACCTAACCTGCTGAAGCACTTAAAATCCCACCTATTTGGGGACCTTGAGACTTTTCAGCTTCAATTAATGAACACAGACAAATTTGATGCCAGTGTATGGATGTGAGTATTTGCCAATTTGGTATGCTTCTGGTGTATAAGCCTCACATAGCTGACACTTCATCCTGAATTGTTTCTGTCAGGTTCCAGCTATCTCCTAACACACTTTTTGAAAACAGCAGGGAATGGACACTTCAGATCAAGGCAAATAGCTGTGCTGTAGAATAAATGGATTTAAATAGACTAGCAGGAGTATCTGGAAGAGCTGTGTTACTCAATTGCAGTCATGGTTTTTAAGCTTTGAAAATTGTGTTGTATTGTATTAGGTGGCCAAATTCTATCAACAACATAGTCTTTCCTTTTATTTGTAATCCTTCCTTATCAATATCATTTGTAGATTTGCTATTTGAGAACTGATGACCCAACAGATGTACTTTTTTGAGAAATGGCACAATACTACTACAAGTTGCTATAGTAATATCAGCTCCTCGCACTATGAAACCAGCTTTTTTAGACTGCCACCATGGAAATGCATCCAAAATTCGTATCTGAACTTCCAGTCATCTGAAAATCAAGGTGTTGGTAATTCTTTTGCTTTGCATGTTGGCATCAAAGTGTTCTTTTTTCCTTAAACCACCTTAAACCAGACTGTGAGGACAAACTGCTAGGAAACTGATTTGTGTCAACTACAGAATATAGGGGTGACTGAGAAAAGTTATGTTTTCTTTGTAGCACTGGTGGCTGTGCTCACACTTTGTGAGCTTCCTAACTTGTTTCTGTTAGTCAAAGTAACCTTTATATTCAGATTTTGAGTGAAACATTGCAGAAGTTGTGTAACATCCGAAAGTGCAGGTTGGTTTTGTCATCCAGGTTGTCTGACAGGAGCATGGAGTGCTTTCAGATTCAGTGTGTTCATACCAAAAGAATCAGACAGAATGCAAGAGTGTGTCTCACTATTTTAGACAATTCTTTGGTTTGAACTCTGCATTCCACATCATATTCTATGTGCATAGTTGTGGTAATTTTGCTCACTCTTAGCCCTCTGGGAAGTCTGCACACGTAAGCATCTTCTCAATATGAGAGCTGGATAAAGGCACCCTCAGAGGGGGCTTTGAAAGAGTTCCTAGTGACTTAAGTGGGCAATAAGTCAGGCTCTTCAGGTACTTCATGGTACAGTGACTCTCTGGATACATTTGACAGAAAGCAGAAAGAAAGACTGTCCCTGCCTGAAAGCAATTGTTTTGAAATAAGTAACTGCTTACACACATGAACACTGTGGAAGCAGCATAGACATCTTAAAACAAACTTGCTTGTACGTGCTGTTTTCTTCAGGGAGAAGAGGGCAAAGAAACTTCAGGGAAGATCGGTATTCTAATGAGCAGTTTCAGTGAAGACTAATTAGTAAACTCCTTCGCTAAGGAGGAGTTGGAAGACTGCACGAAGACAAATGAGAGAATCGTGTAAAAATAGGCGCAAGGCAAGAAGTTGGAAAGCAAAAGTTGGAAAGAGAGGGGAAGAGAGCCTAGGAAAAAGATTTGAAGGGGAGGGGTATAGTCTTAGAGGTAGAAACTGTTCTGTATAGGCCAGAAAGGAAGAAGAGGTGCTGTAGGCGAACGTAGAGTATGGGGCACAACGGAGGATTTGAGACAAACTTTATATGTAGCAACACTACAGAGAGCATGGGGCAGGTGGAAGATGGATGGATGCTGAAAATGCAAGTGGAGCATAATGGAAAGGTGAGAGACAGGTAGGTAAAGAGGTTGGGAAGAAGGACAGCATAAACACAGTGGGGTTCAGGAAAAGGTTTAGAAGAGTTTTGTGAATCTGAAATTGTAAGATTTAAAAAAGGAAATTGAATGGGGAAGGAAGAAATGAGAAATGAACTCTGGTTTTAGGCAGTCTGCATTTTTGTCTGAGAAGACATTTTCCTGCTGCATGATGAAGAGGAGTTATGAGGTCACTGTGAGGTAGCCCGATGAAAATGTTAGTGATTTCTTAAAAATTTGATTTCTGACAGCTTATACACAGTACAAGAGAACTTAGTTGTCCTCACAGAAGTAAACAGACATTTCTTTCTTTTACAGGCTGCCAAAATGGCAAACTATTGCAAGTGTCAAAAACTGAGTGACCTTCTGTTCCTTTCATTTGCCATTGTCTTCATTGTCAGTAGGCTTGGCATATATCCCTTATGGTGAGTAAGCATATCGTTTTCCTCACATGCTAAGCATCAAACAATCTTGGAAATAACTGTTGTGATTGAACATGATCTATTGACATTACTCTGTTTCCCAAACCACCAAGGAGAGTTTCAGACATAACCAGGTGCTGAAATAGCCTGTTTGCGAGTGCCATTGTGTTGCTGTGCACTAGGCAAGAAACATATGGGGCTTCTGCTGGTTTCAAGGTAGAAGTGGGTTGGAGACCACATAGCTGCAGGTTAGCAGTTGGTTGCCTGTGTTGGCAGGAAGTTAGAGGAGAAAGAAAATATTAGTCACCGAAGAGATGGAGCAGAGGCTAAGCTTGAAGCTAGGATCTTCTCATTAGCTTTCAGTGCACACTTTATGGGCATGGTCAGCTTAAAGAAAAAGGCACTGGAATAAGGGAAGTCTGGCTTGCTGACATCAGTATAAGGATGTTATTGCCATGTAGATTGTAATACTGCAGGCTACTCCCTTTCCACCCCTCCTTCGAACTGGGGGTCCTGGGCAAGCTGTGTAATACATACATCTGTAAGGTAATTATACAGGTGTTCCTGTAATCTCACCTCTTCCCAGAAAAAGGCAGCTGTTTGCATGTGCACCTACTCTCTTCTAGGTACACACACGTGCATGCACACAAACAAGACATAGCTGTTCGATTCTTTAGCTAGGGTCTTCAACATCCAGAAGGCAGCTGGCTAGTTAGGAAGTACACTGATCTACTTCCTTGTAGAAACCTGTTCAAGTTTGTCTGTAATCTGTGCCCTAAATATGAGGAGGGCTGAGAGATTGCATTGGCCTCACTCTTCTGTGTTCTGGATCCTTCTTTATGTCATATGAACAGAACTAACTCAAATCTCTGTATCTCTGTGAGGGCAAGAGAGGTCTGTCATTGCATCAGAAGGTAACAGCCACAGTTTTGGTTTTGGGAAGGACTAAGAATGCCAGGAATGTTACCCTTTGCAGAGTTTTATTTAGAGAGATTACCACCAAGCTCCTTATTTAAGCATGCAGAGGATTTACAGATGCCAATATCAACCTCTCTGCCACAGTTTCCTTTCAAATCCTGTGTAATGATATCTCTTTGGGGTTTTGTTAATGCAAACAGGGTAAGACCAAGATGCCTTTAAGGAGCTGTGTCATCAGCGCTGCTCATCAGTACACTGTAGAAGTCTCATTTAGCATTTAATGACTCCAAAGATAATGTGATAATGCTTGGTCCCTACTGCACTGTGAGTCGATGAAGGACCATGACAAAAGGACAAAATGGATAGACACACAACCTATGTGTTTTAAAACGTTTGTTATCTTTTCCAATAAGCAATTACTTGTTTCTTAAACAGCTTTGCTTTTATTTCCTCAGTCCTTCCTTGAAGCTAACTTGGCCATTCACTGAATTTCTGTAGGTGAAGTAAGCTAGTTCTTCTACTTGCATGATCTCAGATAGCAAAAATTTCATCTGCTTGTTGCAATATAGTTTATACTGAGAAATGGAGGGACGACCCAATTCTACTAGTGCAGTTCTGCCACTGGGGACTGCAGTACGTGACTCTACTTGAGGGAAGGCTCAGTTGGATGATGACTGGATGGGTTCACAAAGGGGAGGGCAAAGGGGAAGTCGTTCTTGACCAAGCTGATAACCTTCTATGTTGAAATGACTGGCTTGGTGGATGAAGAGAGAGCAGTGGATATAGTTTACCTGGACTTCAGTAAGGCTTTCAACACTGCCTCCCAGAAGATCCTGAGAGAGAAGCGGATAATGTATGGGCTAGATGAGCAAACAGTAAGGTGGGTTGAAAACTGGCTGAGCAGCCAGACCCAGAGGGTGGTGATCCGTGGTTTGGATCTGCAAGTCTAGTTGGGGGCCAGTAACTAGCGGTGTACCCCAGGGGTCAATACTGAGTCCAGTCCCATTCAACGTCTTCATTAATGATCTGAATGATGCAGCAAAGTGCACCCTCAGCAAGTTTGCGCATGTTCCAACCTGGGGGAAGTGGCTGATACGCTGTGCTGCCATCCAGAAGGATGGAACCTCAGCAAGCTGGAGAAATGGGCCAACAGGAACCTCATGAAGTTCAGGAAAGGGAAGTGCAAAGTCCTGCACCAGTATATGCTGGGGTCTGACCAGCTGGAAAGCAGGTTTGCACAAAAGGACCTGGAGGTCCTGGTGGACACCAAGCTGGACATGAGCCAGCAATATGCCCTTGTGGCAAAGAAGGCTAATGGTATCCTGGGCTGCATTAGGTGGGGTGTTGCCAGCAGGTTGACAAACGTGATCCTTCCCCTCTACTCAGCACTGTTAGGCCACAGCAGGAGTACCATGTTCAGTTCTGGGTGGGAGAGATACCAGAGAGATACAAAGCTACTGGAGACAGTCCAGCGAAGGATCACTAAGATTGACTGAGGAACTGGAGCACCGCTCACATGAGAAAAAGGCTGAGACAAGTGGGACTGTTTACCGTTGAGAATAGAAAGCTCAGGACAGAGATTATCAGTATGTATAAATATATGAAGAGAGAGTGTAAAGAAGACAGGCTCTTTTCAGTGGTGCCCAGGGACAGGACCAGAGGCAATGAGGATGAACTGAAACACAGGAGGTTCTGCCTGAACATCAGGAATTCAGGAAACACTTTTTCACTGTGAGGGTGACTGAGCACTGGCAGAGGTTGCCCAGAGAGGTGGTGGAGGCTCCATCCTTGGAGATACAAAAGCCGTCTGGACATGGTCCTGGGCAGCCTGCAACAGGTGACCCAGGTTGAGCAGGGCGGTTGCACAGGGTGGCATCCAGAGGTCCTTTCCAACCTCAGCCATTCTATGGTTCTGTGAGCTGTCTCATGTTTAGCTGTGACTCCAGCATTTAAACCTCGCTCTGTATTATTTTAAAAGGCAAAGAAGGAACTGCTGACTTGAAATTTTTTTGTTATTCAAACCCAAACTTTACCAGATCACTGCTATGTGCTTGCCTTGCTGAATAGCCAACAAAGAGTAGATTAATATTGTCCAGAGTGCACAATTTTGAAGGAGGTCATTAGTCTTCACACATTTAACTAGAAGCAGCTGCCCAATATGCTTTTTCTCTTGAGACATTTGAAAATCAGCAAGGTCAAGATTTTCCCATCCTTTACATCCTTACTATGGTAGTCAAGTTTTGGAAAGTCCATGCTTTCAACCTGAAGTGTTTAGAAGAACACTGTGTGTTTATAACTGGAACTGAAGCTCAGAAACTGGAGGTTCACGCTGTCTCAAGCAATTTCTGTGAAGTGTTGCAGCCAAGTGTCACGCTGTGCAGGAAGCCCTTGCTAGGTCTAGACAAATTATAAATTAAAGATTGACATGGCTAGTGGGAATCAGGCATCATAGAGCTGAAGTCAGTGTAAGTGTCCCTCATACTCTTCTCATGCTGTGTGACTGATGGAGTCCTGGAAGAGATTACCAGCACAATGTTATCTAGAGTTATCTAGCAAGTGTCAAAACTTGAGCCCTGCTTTACATCTGTGGCATTTTGTGCTGCTGTTCTGGATGTGCCCATCCGTTCTCTTATACGTTAGGTGACAGCAGCACTTCTGTACCACTTTAGATTGAACCTTGTCTGAATCCTGCTCTACAGAGTAGCACTGGCCCAGCATGCTGAAAGCAGGGTAAAAATTGAAGTGAGTAGATTTGGGGAAGTAGGAAAGGGAAAGAGGGCTGCACAGTAGCTTCTGTTGTTGGTGTCAGCTCCCTTGGTATTGAATATTGGGCTAATGAGGGCAGCAGGTTACAGCCATGGGTGAGGTTTGCTGCTGGGATGGAAAAGATCAGCATAGACTTGTGAAGGCAGAGGGAGAGTGTGTTAGAGGAATGCAGCTGCTGACAGTGTGCGGTGTGCTCTTGTGTCATAGACGGAGTGGTTCCACTGGCGATCCCTGTGCCTCTCCTCTCCCTTAATCAATGAAAGAACACATTTATTTATTTATTTGAGTATGCAAATAGTTCAGTGTGGTGTGTATGATCTTGATTTTAAAGACCATCTTGTTTCCAGACTGAAGCCTGGATGTGTGTACTCCTGATGGTTACCCTTACATACACCCATAATCACAGAGTCAGAGGCAGTTTTGTAGTTCTCAGCTGTGCTATGGGCATTGTGCATGGGAGTCAGGGTTAGCAGGGATGAAGCATGGGACGTGTGAGCTTCTCTCCTGAATTCTTTTTTTCTGTGAAACAGCAATTCTAAATCCTCACCCCCATTAGCTTGCCTGTCAGCAAGGGTGAGTCATTCAAGTGGCAGCAGGCCAGGAGGCATCATTTTGCTCTCCTTTGCTGAATATTCAAAATAGCAAAATTTGGTGCCTGATTAATATTACATAAATATGCTAAATTTTCTAGCATAAAAACTGAGAGGTATAAAATCGGTGTGCATGTAATGTACAAGGAAGACTGTAATTTATAAGAACTTCCCCCACACAGGAAGGCAAATACTCAAGACAGGCTTCCAGAGACGTCACTTAGGAAGCACCAGCATGCTGTTGTGCTCCGGCTTTGCACACGTGCCTTTTAGTTTTGCATAACGGTGCTAATAGAGAATTCAGAATATATCAAATGCTGTTGTTTGAAAGTTGTTTAGCAGCGGGGCTAAGACAAAAGAAACTGGCAATTAGGTATATATTTAGCAGTGTTTCTGCAGGCATCTGGAGTTCATTTCAGCAATAATTCAAAAACCCCAGGACACTTTCTCCCTCCTTCTGCTAAGCGAATGTAGGAGTAAAGCTGCTATTTTCACTGACGACATTTTGCTTGTGAAATTCTCCCACTTGCGCATAATCACTGTTCTAGCAAATTACAACATAAAACACAACTCTCTATGAGTCAGGGGGAACATGATGACTTCTCAGGTGATACAGGATTGTAGGGAGAATGAAAGCAATCAAACCAAAGAATTTATATAAATTATGTGAGCCCTTAGCTAGTCTGATCAGGCTGGGCAAAGCAGTTACCTCAGGCCTTACTTTATTTC